AAAATTGCTCAAGCGAAATCATGTTTCCCCAGGTGCAAAAGAAAGAGCCGTAAATGGTTTTCTTTATCATCTTTGCGATCCATCATTTTTGATTTTTCTCCTGTTTCAAAACAAATCTAAGAAAAAAAAACGAATTGTAAAATTGTTTTCTTAATTTTGCTTATGGTGCTTCGGGGATTCTCAATACAGCATGTGTTTGAGTTATTTTGGGGCCTGTGAAAAACGAATCTAAGAAATATAGGAAAGTTTTTTAATATAGATTACTAGGTGGTATACCCGTTCTTCACATGGGTGAATTGAAAAATTAAAACAATACAGATTGAAGGATAAAGAAGTTTTTAATAAATTAATTTTTTTGTGAAAATTAAACAAAAAAAGAAGCTTTTTGCATATTTTAGCTGAACAAAAAACCATGTTTGTTAAATTTTAAAGCTGTAGATGTAATAATTGATAAAAGGGAAATTTTTTATATTTATAACGCCCCGTAACTCTCTTGTAGGTCGAATTTTTTAAGGTATCCGACTACGTTCGGAACCGTGATTTTAAAAAGGCGCATAAATGAATAATTTTCATCATATTTAGTGTCATTTAGATTAGATTACATGTATAAAATTGCTTTAAGGATATTATGACAAAAAATAATTACTTAAATACAATATTTTGGCAAAAATTAGCTTAGAATGATTTTTAAAACGTTCTCCTTTTACAAAAAATGCTTCTATAATAACAATATTTTGCTTATATAAAGTAAATACTTCTCCAGAGAGTCTGAGCTAGGAGTTTTAAAAAATTCACATTATTTTCAGAGTTACTACCAAGTGAAATAATTATTAGCGTTTTTTTCTTAAAATTTCTCCCCACTGATGTAGTAAACTATGGGTAAATCAACTTCTAAGTTGTATATTTCAAAAGTTCTAGTTCAGCCTCTGTACAGAGGTCTGAACTATATACAGGCAAAATATTATTATGATAGAAGCATTTTTCATAAAAGGAGATCTTTTTGAAAATTTGTCATTCTATGTTCATTTTTTGTCAAAATATTGTACTTAAATATTTTTTTATTGTAATAATATTCATAAAAATATTTTATATAAGTTTTCTAATCACTCACTGTGACACTTCAAGTGACACTAAATATCATAAATATTATCCATTTATACACGTTTGCAAAATTACTGTTCCGAACGTAGTCGGATACTTTAAAACTCCTTGATAAGCTCGTCTCTGCTCAGCAAAAGTAACGAAATGTCACAAATTTCGTGCAATGAACGTTTAAAATAGTGTCAATAATTAAAATCCAAATGCGTAATACATTAATATTACTTTCTGTTGAATTTATTTTATGTTAAAATTGTAATATTCGCAAGCAACGCCGTTTCTTACATTATAATGGCGATTCAATGGAAACATAGTGAAATATTGGTGATAGAGCCAATTTTTTGCAAAACAGCTTCGCCAATAACACGTTCAACTAAAAAGACCATCATTAGTGCAGCCGGAAACATCAACTGCAACATGACAACGTCTAAAAAGAACAACGCTTTATGCAAAAGTAACCCGTTTTGCATAAAGCTTCCTCTTCCCAAGCATGTAAATCTCGACATTTTTCTTCTACAACTGACAGCTTTTTCCAGTTTTGCATTTTATTACTCTTCATTCTTGATCTGGAATTTTAAAATTGTTTCTGTGTTCCGTTTTAGTTGTTTCTATTGAAAGTACCTCTATGTTTTTCCCGAAAAGGATTTTTTCGAAATCGCGTGCACGCATTCCTGTGTATAGCCCATGCCAAAATTTCTGCCATTGTATTCCGTTCACATCGTCGTTTTCGCAGGGAGCTGCCATTTTTATAAGGTGCTTAATTATAACCTGGTATATATATATACTATATGGTATGTATATATATATATATATTTATCCCTTTATCCGGAATTATTTTATCTTCAAATATTAAATTCTTCTGGTTGGTTAATACTATATGGACCTACAACATTGTGGGAAAAAATAAGTCACCCTAGAAATTTTACGAGTTACACAGTTTTAGCTCTTTGATAGAAGAAACAATCTTAATTCAACTAAAATTTTTACAAATAAGAAGTAGACACATGAAAAATTAACTCTTTTATTAATTCATTATTTATTTACTGCAAAAAATTTTTGCTCTTGTTTTTGACAAGTACAAAATAACTATTGCATTTTTCACAACAGGTTTTCTTGAACTGCTTTCGTAGTTTTCTGGCAAATCTGCACTGCGAAACAGTGAAATGTCATCACCTCCAAAACGGTTATAAGATAAATAAGCCTTTATCCTGAATGGCCAGGATAAAGTTTTCATGAGGTGTGTATAGCAGGTGGATTATAACGCTTTGGTCTTTTTGCGAGTGGAATTGCAACACTGTTATCTTCATCACCAGTTAAAATACTTTTGTTAGTAGGTGGAGATGCTCATAACACTTCAACTATCTCTAACTTAAATTTTAAGCGATCCATTTTGATTTTTAGATGAATTTTATTTGATATTGCATCTTGTTTACACACAGAAACCAAAAATTTGTAACAGCTAAATTAATGTAATGAATGTGTTCAAGAGACTTTTATGGTAAAAAAGGATTCAAAATTGTCTTTCCATTTCAAATATTCCCATATGTCTCTTCATTGCTCTCATCTGAACTTGATTCTCTTTCCAGTATACGCGATTCATATATTTTGTTCACAGCATTGTCATCATTCGAGAGATCACTAAGTTCTGATCTAAGTTCGATCTGATTTATTCACCAATTGAAAAATTTCTTCTGTGAGAATTCTCCTTTTAGACACTTGAAAAAGTTTTTGGTGAAAAGTTAACACAGTATTCCATGAAAAATAGTAAAATGTATCAAAAAATTTATTATTTAAATATATATATATGTTACCACACCATACTAACTACCACAGGAAAACCCAGATTTTTTTGAGGGGGGGGGAAGAGATATGGATGCAGATATTTCCGTGAGAGGACAAAATAAATAATACCCTCAACAAATGTATGAAAGAAATTAGTTGCAAAGAGGGAGAGAGAGAAAAGAAAAAGGGACTCATCCATTGTGACCCCCCAGAAAAATTTGGTGGCTAATTATATAACGATATATATATTTTATTTTTATGTAGGTTTTCATCAAAATTATTGAAACAGAAAAGAAAAATTGCAATGTTAAGTACTCACTCATTAACCGCAATGTAGACTCAAGTAACAAAATTCCGAGCCCTAGAAGCCATATTAACAGAGTATAATTAATATTTTTTCTATTTTCCAATTATTTAAACATTAACACAAAAATTTGTATTTAAGCAATTAGAAATATATTGATTATTACCTTCTTACGACAAAAAAAGAAGACGTGTTTTCGTTGTATTTGAAAACCAAGTTAGATTTGCCAGCTGAAAGTAAAACATGGACTACAACCACCGTCTGTTGATAAAAAATGATACTTTACACCTTCTGAAAACACGATCAATCGTTGAATTCCGGATTTTTTTGCATACGACTATTCCACAAGATCGTGCGGGTTGGGTCTTAAAGGGTTATAGGGAGAGAGTGAACTAATAGTAGGAATTTTTTTTTTGAAAAAAGCAATGGGCATCTGTGAACCATATTACATGAAGTTGAAACTGATCAAGCAAGGAAAGAACCTGATGAAATAATGGATATTAATCATGATAGCGAAAGTAAATTTGAGAAAAGCGATGAACATGAAATGTTTGAAGTGAAAGGAAAACTTTCAAATGTTATCTAGAAAGTTATATCAAGAAAGATATGAAGCTACATGTGTATCTCAACACACCCCTGTCAAAAAGACACAAGCAAGAAAAACTTCAACATGCTACTTGTCGGTCATCAGAAGACAATAAAACTACAATAACATGAACAACATATGGCAGTTTTGCCTGCAAATATCATTCCACTAATGTTAGAGAAGAGTGCCTATGATTTGAGTCCTTTTTTAAAGTCACGCACATTTGAAACATTTTAGTTAAGTTTGACTACATGTTTTCTCAAATTATCAAATAAAATGGAAAAGTCCTTAAAAGTAGGTAAATATACTTTAGCTTAGTTAAATTATTCACGGGAATTATGATTTTTATCACGTGCAATACAAATAATAATAATAAAAAGGACTGGAGTGACCCTGTCACCCTGCGTGACAAATAAGACTAGGATCGAGCGTGACTTCTCCCGGGTTACTACATAAAAAGGTATTAAAAAATCCATTAGATGACAGAGGTAGCACTAAGCAGCAAAACTCAGAACAAAAAGTGGTACTTGTAACATTTTAAAATGTTAAAAGAGTATGTCAGAAATATTAAAGTGCAGAAGTTATCAACGATGTTATTTTCCTATTGGAGTAATTATTTCACGAGTTATTTAAATATATTTTGCAATCATGAAGATCTTATATTCATGTCGTCCTCGTCGCCAGATTGAGGTTCAAAATTACTAGGTTAGTTGCCCGTAGTCCTATAGTGTTGTTTTACCGAGCAACGTCAATAATCACTTACTCAAATTAAGCATGATACATTTTACTACTAATTAAAAAATGCAACAATAATGCATTACTAATCTCTTGAACTTAGGGCTAAGTCTTTGTATGGTTTTGTAAAGCTTTAAGGCACCAAGTTTTTCCTTAACTTGTGTATATTATTGGACTGAAATAAAATAGAACAAACAAGTAATATAAGGAAAAAAAAAGTCAATTCCTACTTAGGTCAACAATTTTTTTTTATTTTAGTTATTTTTTTTATTAAATAGTTACAATTAATATAAATATATGTATACATGTGACAGAATCACAATATTAAGTGACAAAATAGAAAGCGATTTCCAGCCTTGCAATTTTCCATTTTCCTTTCTATATAGGGTGTTGGGCTATTTTGTTTGTTTGTTACTATTTATTCATTAAATAAATTTAATCATTCTAATAAAATAGTATATAGTAAAAATGAAACCCCATTCTCAGAACTTAGGCTATCCCAGGAGGAATTCGAACCCACGACCTTTGAAAGCGAAGTCCAACGCGCTATCCATTGCGCCACAGAGAGACAACAAACGAGTTTCCTCTCTATTATGTTGTTAGACTATTATTTATATATTCTTTTTTTAAATTTAATTAATGAATTAATATTAGAAAACAAAAATATATTAACATCAATTGTCATCCACTATAAGCTTAAAAAATGTATTTGAACTTAAATGGATGAATAGAAAGTATTTTATTAACAAATGAAAATTTGAACAAGATGTATATATAAATATATATATATATAGGAGAAAGTGAACTAATAGTAGGAATTGAAAAATACAGTTTGAAGTAACATTAAAACACTTTTATTTTGAAAAATATTTCATACAAATATAAGACACTATAAACAAGAGAATTGAAATATAACCTTTTGCTAAAATAATGTTATAAATTTAAAAGTATACTAAATTTAATTTGTAAAAATATTTATATCACCACAAATTAAGGTTTTAAAACGTTATCTATATCTAATAAACCAGACTGAAGAAAAGAAAGTTAAAAAAGAAAAAAAGATTGAAAAAATCTGCAAAGAAACTTTAAAACAATAAAAAGATATTATATGGTAAGAAAAAAGAAATTATAAACGTATTTTTTTACTTAAAATCATTAAAACTTAATTTCTGTTGAAAATATTGCTTTATATTAAACATTTATTAAAAAAAGTGCTGATTATTTAACCCCGCTAAATTTGCTGCAAGTATAAAAAGCATGAATGTTGAAAACTAATTTTGTAAACACATAAAATAAATATCGACAAGAACAATAAGAAATCATTAAAAACATTTTAAATTTGATCTTTTAGCATTATTTATATATACAGAATTCATTAACGTTTTGCAGAAATTAAAATTCTAAGCAAATATTAATTATTCCGGGGTTATTTTAACATGCGCTATTCGGAAAAAATTGCAGAGTATTAATTGAAAATATTAAATATTCACAATAAGATAATGCATAAATGTTCTATTATTATAGAGTATTTGTATACTATATGCAAAGAATCCTGCAGGATATGTATCTAAATACATCTCTGTATCAGGGCAAGATATTTGTATAAGAATACTTGTATGATGATATACAAATATCACGTATATTTGAGTTCTTTATACAAATATTCTGAGAGACCGTTAATGCTGAAGTTAGGAACTCAATATTAAACAGGCTAGATAAATTTGTGATACCATAATTTTTCCTTTGCATGTATAAAAAAAATCTTTTGATCTTATTTCAAATATGATAGCATCAGATTTCACAAACATAGCAAATAAATATTGGTTACCGATTTAACATATGCAAATATTTTAAACAATAAAACTCCAAAAGCATGAGGAATATTTTATTATAACCTTGATTCGGGATGTCTGAAATAGAAGTCTAAGTAGCTTTGAGAAAATAAGCCAAAAGTATTTTTAAGACAAAAACCCTGTCTATTCCTTTATGCAAAGATAAACATGGACCTTATTTCACTTCCTTTCATTTCGAACTCAATGTGAAAAATACAACAATTTGTGACATTTTCGCATCTAATTCCATTCTTCAATTTAATGAGTAATTCCACACGAGGGCTTCATGCAAAACATGGTATATAATGGGATATTTTTTTATGAGATCAATAATTCTGTTTACTATAATCTTCATTCATTATGAAATAATCAACAGCTTACCTTACGATGATTACAGCATATTTAACAAGGGAAGCGATCGTAAGTATAATCGGACATGAATGCTTTTTATACTAGATATAAACCAGTGTACGTACCGCGGGAGTCATTGATGGCACGCGACAATAATAGTTTTCGCACGCCAGTCATCAAAATGGTTTGTATTTTATTCTACCGTGCGTCACGAAGAATTACGAACAAAACACGAGTATTCGGTCAGGGCGAGAGGTGGCACTTGCTTGGCGGTTGCTTCCTCGCCTTAATTACGTCGAAGACTACAATTGCTTATGATGTAAAGTTTGTCTACGCATATCATAGTCAATTTCATTGACACAACTGTATTTTAAAGTTAATCTGCTTTATATTTGCGATTTTTAACTATTATTTATCATTGCTAGTTCAGCAAAAGAACAAAAAATGCAAGATAGTAAGTGCAACAGAATTTCAAATTTGGTGGACCGAGAAACATGGCATTATTAGTAAAGGTGACAAAGCGTTATGTGTTTTATGTGTGCTCTGGAATAGTGGTATGCAGAACATCGTCTGTAAAACGGTTTTTTGAAACAAATCACAAACCCTCTTGTCCAAAAAGTAAACCACAGCAAAAATAATTAATTGCTTAGAAACCGTTTGGCAGATGAGAGAGAGAGAGAGAGAGACTCCAATTAAACATATATTCTACCAAAAGTAACATCTTACAATCCTAATATAAGTTATTTGTTATCCAATCTGCAACAACAGGAATCACACTAATGTTACCTCTTTAATTAAATTACACGAACCCAAAACATTTAAGACCATACAGTGCAGAAGGTATTTTTTGTAGTAAATAGAGTTTTGTCTTGTTAGTGTATTTAGTTTTATTATTTTCCCAATAATCACATGCCAAAATGTTTTGACGACACACCAATACCTCATTATTCACTTTATAAAAAATGGCACGTTGATCCATAAAGATTCGCCACCCCTACTTTATAAATATAGTGTAGAACTGTTGCAAAATTTGCTTTACAGAGGGTGTCACAGGATTATTGGGACAAATTTGAGGGGAGGTAGGGAACATCTTAAGGATTCCTATTTGAATAGAAATCCGTGGTCGTAAACAGCAATCTTTCACCTGCTAGTGCATTTCCTTCTGTCACTCCGTAAATCAGGTACATATTTGCCAGATAGATGTTCGTAAAATTATTCCACACTCCTCTTTGACCAATGACAGCTCCAATGACTGTGGTAATACAGCTCTGTTTCTTCTAATGCTCTTGCGAACAACGCCACCCAGCCCCGAACGAAGATGTTTCCGACCATGGATCTGAAATCTGAATCCTTGTGATATCCCCGACCTCCTCATAAAGTTTGTCCCAATATTCCTGGGACACTCTGTAAGGGAAAAATTATAAATATATCAATCTCCTTCCTATCATCTATGGGACACTGGATGTCAGAAAATACATTGACACCATTCTAGAACCCAAACTTCTACCTGCCATCAGGGATCTACTTGCCAACAATGCTTCCTTTTTATTTTTCAGCAAGATTCTGCTCCTTGCCACACAGTAAAGTAATCAAAACACTGCTATTGTTCTAAGATCACTAAGTTGTTGTCCTGACTTTGATTCTATGAAAAACTTGTGGCACCGTTTGAAAACTTGTCCGAATGAGGTACCCCACGAAAAAAAAGGAACTGATTGGGGATATGATTGTTTCCTGGCATTATGTAATAATGAAGGAAGAACTCAAAACTATTTTCAGCTCAATGAAATATCGATGTGAAGCTGTAATAAAAAAGTAAAGGTTACCCCACTAAGCACTGTTATCATCAGTATCTAATGTATATCGATAGTTATTGCACAGCATAACTTTTTAGCGTTCTAAATATTTGAACTTTGTTTTTGTATTGAATTGAGTATATTAAATTTTCTTTAAAATTATATGAAAGACGTTGTATTTTGTGCAAAAGTACATTTTCTATATGCATACAAACTTAAAAAACACCACAATGGTGTCCTCAATTTTGGCCGCCACTGTATATAATGTTGAAGAAACAAAAAACATTTTGAATCCAAATTCAATGTTATAAATTTTCTGAAAATCTATTTGTAAATGTAGGGTGTTCAACAGAAGAAAAATTTCAATTTTGAGTTTTACGAATAGTGTGATTTGAAAAAAAAAAGATAACGCACAATAAAGAACAAGAATATAAGAAAATCTTGCAGCTTTGCAGTAAGTGTTGAATGTTACATGTATATGAAATAAATTGCACTCAAAATAATAGAATGTTATTTATTGTCATGAAACAACTCTACAATAACTTACAATCTATAATAGTTATAAAGGATTTTTAAGATGAATTTATATAAACTTCAGATACACAAAATTTAACAAACGTTCTAAGTAATTGTATAATGAATCTATTATTAATTTATTTATACAAACTTAAGTTTACTTTTTATAGTTTTTTTAATACGGTTTAATTTCGAGTCATGATTAGATGATGAGATTGAAAGTTTAGCTAAGTTTTATTCTTATTACTTTCATATTGTAAAATGTTAGGATTTTAGAACCTTGTAATTTAACTTGCTGTAATATTCATTACACTTTAGAAAGATTTTTAACAGAATCAGATTCTTTAGAAAACCCAAGACGGTGACAGAGATACTTGCATTTCTAATGTAATTCTCATGACGTTGAAAAGTAATTGAACAAATGTAATTTGCAATGAATTATGAAATTTCTTTTTCTTGCTATTATAAGGTAATTCCGGGGAAGACGCCAGTTGGGGAAAGATGCCAGTTCGTTAATAATACTTTTATGCGTCGTTAGATGGCAATTTTGAGTAGCTTGAGTGAAGAGCCTGGTCTGAAATTAAGTGTGGCTTGGGAATTTATCTGAATTAATCGTTTTTAATGGCCTTATTTTTCGATCTTGTGAGCATTTAAAGAAGTGAGTACAATTTCATAATATTCCGTTCCTCGTATTTAAAGTTTATAAACGTGCTTGTTATTTTAAATAACATATTAGCAATGTAAGTGAGATACGCATAATGCTACACATATGATGTATGTAGAAATGGCCTTAACACTACAATAAGGAAATAAGCGTATGTGACATCAGTGCCTATACTTGGGGGAATACGCCACATGGTTCAGAAAATATTATATGAACTTTAATTTTTTTTTCTTTTTATAGCACTGAATATAATAGTATAAAATATAGCTACAATAATTAATTATGCTATTAGGAAGGAGAAAGGATCTCCATAGGACGAATATGTGCAAGGGTGAAATCGTCTACTACACTGATGTGCAAAACTTAAGCAACAGGTGGGCTTATTGCCATAACTTCACGAAAAATCCTATGA